TCTGGCGAGAAGTTTGCCTGCCGTTTATTTGGTGGGAGGATTGGTATTTCAACTACGCTAGGTATAGTAGTCTGCGTAGGCGTCGCTGGTTCCGTGGTTTCCATATCTATCTCATTCTGGATCTGAGCTTCGATTTCTGCTCTCGCCTGGGTGCCTGGCACGTGTACGTCGATAGTATCACTATCGGGTGGCATTTTGATTACTAATCCACCTGGTCTGTGTGTTTTTCGGTGAAAAATAAGACGTGTCTAAAGTGATCACTTTAACAGCCTATAGCTCCACAGCGCGTGGCGTGCACGCTTTAAAGGTGATTGTAATCGATTTCTCGCGAGGGGTTTATATATATTTGACTAAAATTACACCTATTCTAGAAAACTCGAAGTTGTCTGTGTTTTGTATGTAGACGAACTGGAGCCCCGTTTTAGAATAGCGAATTTACACGACAAAACGCAGAGACCATATGTAGTGGTGCGTGTATATGTGAAACGCGGAGTCTGGATCATGGCATTTGGGTTGCAAGACATGGTGTGCCCTGTGTGTTACTCTATGGGCGGCAAACGAAACGGGGGGGAGGGCAAAAAAATGCCAGGTGAGGGTTTTCGCGCTTGTTTTGGAGAGTGATATGAGCATGGAATGGGCTGTTACATGGTTGTTCGTTGTTTAGAGTGGGTGGTACCGGCTTGGCGTTACTTTGTCTGAGGGTTTCTAGGGCGGGTTCTGGAATACGTGTGCTGCGATGTTCCTTGTGCTGCGGGTGATGTTGCGCTAGAGGTGTCGGATGGTTAACTTTGCTAAATGTGTGTGTGCATATTGATTGGACGAGGGGTTTCATAGTGGGTGTTCCTGGTTCGATGTCAGCCGCACGGCGTGGAGATGTGATTGGTGCTCCTTGAGTACGATGTAGAATTAGGTATGTTAGAGATGTTAGAAAAACAAAATTTAAGTTCACTATGTCTTAGTATTACTGGTTCGGCATAGTCGCTTATGTTCTAGGGTAAGAACCACAAAACTTCACTGAAAAGTAATACAATTCTCACGTGCATTTCGTCCTTGTAGATGTCTGATCAATGTCTGGAAGGGATTGCCCTTTCAGGGTGAGCTAGGATCAAACCTGCATGTCTCTACCAGAATACCGGTACCTGCTGCAATTGGTTAGTGCCTCAATAGAAGACTGCCACCGAAGCAGTAGAATGGCCAAGGGCCTACTGCATAGATTGTCCTTGGAAACACTTCTATTATGATCTTCATGTGGGTCATGCATGAAGATGCTTATTTGCGCCTACATCCGACGTCTGTTGTAGATACTTAGAGATAGGGGTTGGAATTGCACCTTCCTACAAGCGAAGTTGGGGGCGAGATAATCTGTTGAATTGTTCAAGCGAACAGTCTTGCTATCGAGCGATCTTTTTTCAATATACTTGGATATGGATGTCCTATTCCTGTTGGATTTTGCTTGATTGCTTAGTAAATAGGGGTATCAACAAGGTGAATGTAATTGAAAGGTCCTGTTTGCAGGCCCAAGTGCAGTCTAAATGGGGACATTGAACGGTTTATCCTTGTATAAACAGACAGACAAAATAAGGGTCTAACATTACTCTGCACGTTCGCACGTTATTGGCAGGGCACTGGGCTCATGCCTGACAACCTAATCACGTCCTTCCGATATTTCTCTTCTAATATTGGTAATCGAGCGGAAGCCTTACTGCCCAACAAATGTTTAATCCAATTTTGTAGTTGTAGGTGGTATGAAAAAGGTATGAAAAAGTATTAGCTCAACAGAATGGCAGATTTTTCATCAATATGTTTTTTAAATTTACCATACAATATGACTCGACAGATCAGGTTCGGTGGCACTGGAAATAAAGACAGGCATTACGTCAAACAGCGATGGACCTGCGTTGAAGTATGCAAACATTGAAGAGAGGCGCAGTCTTCCACACAGAACATAACAATGCCAGCCAGATTCTGAGGCACTAACCGACGTGACGTGGTAAAAATACGAGGAGTATATGTCGGGTATGTTAATTGTCCGCGGCTTTAAAGAAACTTGACCGGATCTTTTCTAGATCGGTCTACTTTAAGATCAAACACGTCTAGTCGTTGATAGCCTCCAACAACATCATGGTACTGTTTTCCTTCGATGCAGTCTTCTAGTCGCATATCGGCATACAGTATATCTTCGTCGGACTGGAGCGCATCCGTATTTTGTTTTTGCGAATCTTTGTAGATGAAACTAGGAAGTGGAGCGCCAGTAGGATCTAGGAAGAACGTGGCAGCCCGTGGCATGGCACGCAAAGTCTCGGTTACCACATCGGGCTGACTCGCTCCATCAACAATTGTCTCAATAGCATCCTCTCCCAGGTGTCCGGAACATGCAACGCCGAAGCACTTGGCCTCAAAGCAATGCGCTGCTGCGCGTGTCCTGTTAGCCGCCAAATTATCGTAGTTAGCTCCACGTGTGCTGGCCTGATGGACGCCGCTTTCGGCGCTCGGTGGGATTTTTTGCAATGTTCGCGTCGGCCAAATTGCGGGCCAGGTAGAGATATGCACTTGTTCAGCTTGTGCAATCATAGAATACCTTGCGAGTGCGTTTGTATTCTCGCCGCATATGAGGGTGCCAATTCGCCCAAACTGCGTGCTAGCAACGCGTAACCCATGGCCATCTCCAGGGCTCCAGGTCAATTTCTCAAAGAAAGTCGGAACAAGCTTTCGGTGGTGTACAAGCACCTCGCCCTCGGTCCCAATGATCAGGTTCGAGTTGTAGAGGCAGCCGTTGCTATGGCGGGACTTTTCGCTGAAGCCGATGCTGACCAATACACCGCTTGATCGTGCAGCTTCGCGAATCGCTTCCAATTCATCACCATCTGCATAGACTGACTCTTGTACCATACGCTGGAATAGCCAGTGATTGTCGGTGGGTGGTCTCAACGAGCTCCAGATTGGGAAAGCAGATATGTAGGTTTCGGGGAAAACGACCAAGTTAGCCTTGTTCGAGGCTGCCTGCTTGACGAGGGCTATGGCCTTGTCTGTTGTCCGACGCGCATTCAGAAAAACTGGAGACGCATGGCATGCAGCCACGCGGAGGATGCTTGCCATTATGCGTAGTGTTATGGCAATGCGAAAACGGTGGTGTTGGCGAACACATGATCTAATAAATGCCCCTGCGTCTGATTAGGCGTACCTCCCCGCATTCTGCAAAGAACCCGTGCTTGTCGGTGTTCATCATATTACTGTTCAATGCTTTTCTCGGTCTCCTCAACGTTTCTCATAGTAAGGCTAGCGAAAAAGAAAGAAAAAGAAAAACGAAGCCGGAAGATGCGGATCAATTGAGAAGTGCGTGGGACGACTTGAGCGCAACTGGCTTGAGGTACATTGCTCGGCCAAATTGACATCGGAAAAAAATACAGGGTACTTGGCCGCAACCGGCGGCCATTCTCTGTTATTGTATTATACGTTAACGCCACAAGAGTGAGTACTTGTCCCAATCAGACCAAAGTCATCCGGTAAAGGCAGGTCGGATACGAGGAGTGTTGCCACACGGCGGTTCCGGACAGTCCAGGAACGGTGCAGAGGTGAACATGTAGTAGTGTACACAGATACGTACACACAGTTTACACAGTACATGTTCGATAAGGACATATCTCGGCGGATGATGTGGAGAAGCGGCAGGCGGACTGCCGATGTTTCTGGAGTGATTTTGACAAGTCCTCCGTACCCCTGCAGAGTTCCCTGCGCCATGCACGTTTACGTCGCTCGGAGGTGTTTATGACTTCCAACTGTGTAGTTACTCGCGATGTTTGAGTAAGATGAT